GTTAACCCGCCTCAAGCATCAGTGTAATGATATTTTCACTCCGTACGAATTCAAAAAAAACTGGAACATTACGCCGGCATAAATGGGGGGAACCGAATGGCACGGGTTACTCGGGCGGTGACTTTGGTATTACCTTGGCAGTTGTAATAGCAGTGGTGAAGAAATATGAACCGTCAATATGTAAAAAAACAAAGCAAAGCAAGGAAAGTAGGTTGTGGATTAAAGCGTTTACCCTTTCCATCAGCGTTTGGAAGGTCACCCTGCGCCTCCCTCTGCAAAATGTATTGATGTATCTCCCGCAGTCGGTTCTCATGATCCATATTTGTCCACACTGAGACCATGAGGATGGACTGACCATTCAGAGTACCCACCAAAGTCATGACGTCGCCCTTGGAGGAGAGACGATACTGGTACTTGCGGTCGTCAATCACTAATTCATCAAAGTGGTAGATGCTGTAGTGGTCCAGATTGATGCGCTGACACTTGTCGGAGAAAATTTCCTCCATGGTGTCCGGTTTGGCCTCAGGTAAGTCCAAAGACATCCCGTGTTCGTGGCTGTTTGCTCTAGACACGAGACATCGGTGAGGAAAGACTAGGCTCCTTTGCATGGATAGTTGTAACGAACAGTATGACTAATGTTCGTTAGACTTACTGTGGCACACACGCACACGTTAGCGCAGGCTTGTGCTTGGGGTGCAGCGCTTCAACGATCCACCACAGACACATCGTTCATTATGTGTAAACATTCATTCAGCTGGTTCGAAGTACCCGATGTCAGGCCTGTAGCTCGGATTACGTGTAGCGAGGTCGGTGATCGGCAGAGCAAAATGCGGTGCAAATAATGATAGCACGAGACAACAGTCGACGAGGATTCTAACTACCCCCTGTGGCGCCGCAGAACTCATGGAGCAAAGTCAATCCGCTGATCTACTTGATAGAGGCGTGATCACAGCTAATCGCGTCAGCTCCGGTTATGCCCCATCTTATGCCTCTCCACGAGCAACGATTTCTGACAGCCAACCTGAAGAAATCTGCGATGAAGACTAAACGCTGCGGGCTCCGTGGTCGCCTCAGTATATAAACCAACCGACAAGAGCCAGGTTTTGAGCTGACTTTTTTGTTGAATTCATATGGTAACGACAATGGATTTATGGCGGTAACACTGAACTCGTCTAGTGGATGATTAAGAACATCGAAGCACATCGGCCACCCTTCACAGACGGCTGGATATGGCCTCTCAATGCGGCGCAGCGAATGCGGATTGGCTCATTCGAGACTAAGTCGGTGTGTTCTACTAGCTGGTGGTTCTCAGACAGCGTTTTTCGAAAATCGTCTCTTACGCTCAAAGTCCGGCAGGCACAACCATAGAAAACGTACCGGACGGCTCCCCGACCCTTGTAAATGTTTATGTTGATTGTGAGACCGCGAATGGATTCAGAAACACCGTCGATGAATTGTGAAATCATATTTTCTTTAAATACGATGTTGTCCCAACTCTGCTAGCTAAGCACCTCGGCCGGAAAGATTTACAGATTTATACCTTTTAAAGTTGACGTATATTTTGGAAATATTTCGAAAAGTGCTGCCGAAAAAGAGACGGGAGACCGTGTAGAGATCGGGTGAGATAGACTTGCCGATACCCCACTGGAAATTGTCCAGATTTTTTCCGGGTTAGGTTAATGTATTAGGCATAGGATCAATGTTGGGTTATATGGTGGGTATTAAGTCTAGGGGGAGCTTTAGAGTTTTAGAGACAGCGTCCACCCGATACGATGAAGTCTGAATACAATCAAAATCTGATCTTAACAGGAAAGTAGGGTCGGTGCGAAAGTGTGACAATTAAAATTGCGCAAGGCCTGCTCGAGAATTGAGTTAATTGCCATAGTGCGATGACAAGATGCACCACTGTTAAACACCCAGCCGCATATATTAAAGCCAGGGAAGTTTGACCAAAACATTGTAAACGAAGTCGAACATGGGACTTAGCCAACGAAACAGAAGTCCATCCGCTGACTGCGGCAGCAGTGTGATCAGTTCATACAAATCCAACTCGTGGCCCGGCTTGGGTGGGTCGCCGCCATGAAAACGTCCGAGTGACAATAGCAGATGCATTTACACAGAGCTCGACTTGACTTATGTCGCTGTGCCTAACTTGCGAGTTAGTGCTCGTCTTTCAATATAAGATTGTCGACTAGCTAGCCCCTAGTTACGAGATCTCTGCTACGGCGGCCTGTCTTTGATGGCTTTAAATAGCCAAAATGCCAAAAACGTTCAAGCTGACAAATTCCTGAGAAATCAAACGTCTTGTCGAAAATCTCTGCGTATAAATTAGGGAACACAGGGTCCGTGTCTTCACTGAGCTCAACGGGCGCGTCAGAAAATTTGCGCATTCTGACAAAGAAAACATTTCGCTCCGTATGAGAGGTTAAATGCACTTTTATTTAGAAGATACGCATAAGCTTATGGCAGAGTGTCGCCCTGCATCTCCTTCTTCAAAATACACTGATGGATCTCTCGCAGTCGCTTTTGATGGTCCATGTTCGTCCACACTGAGACCATGAGGACGGACTGGCCATTGAAGGTGCCCACCACAGTCATAAAGTCGCCGTTGGAGGAGAGACGATAATGGTACTTGCGTCCATCAATCGTCAGTTCATCAAAGTGGTAGAGGCTGTAATAATCCAAGTTGATTCGCTGACACTTGTCAGAGAAAACCTCTTCGATTGTATCGGGTTTGAGAACGGGAAGATCGAAAGACATCCTGTGTCCGAACGGCTGGTTCAGTCTGGTATCAGTGAAAAAAAGATAGGGTCCTTTTGTACACGCATTTACAACGGTCATGATTTAATGCTGGTCCGCTTAGCCGCTGGGTTCACCGATTCATGCATTAGGAAAAACGCCGGATCCGTTTAGAATGTCCCGTTTCATAGCAGCTCACCAGAATCCAGGGGGATGCAACTTTTCTGAACATCTGCACATCTACGTGGACGGTCGCAGACCTGTGTACCCCCCGTGAGTGACCAGCCTATATATCAATGCAGATGACTTAGTGAAATTAAGAGAAATGATTGAGAACATCTAACATGTGCATCATCAGAGACCGGCATTGACACAACAATAATTCATACTACGCCAAGTACAAAGGGTCAAATTAATCGCGAGCAACAAAGATGTGAGCACACCAAGGTAGTTATCCGAACATTCGTAAACTGGATGATTCCACTGGCATTTCACAGGAACCTGCACAAGAATACGGACCAGTTAACCGGTAGAAAACCAAACCGCAACGCCAAAGGGTGCAAGGGGAATGCTAACGGCGAAGCCGCAAGTGAATGATAGGGAACGAAGGACAGAAAACAGAAACAGGAGAAAAACAATGTGCGAAAGAAGCGGCAAAATAGGGCACACAAAAGCATTGCACAAACAAAAACAAAAACATTGCAGGCGGCCAGCAGCTTTCGCTCACTTGAAGGCGGCATCAAAATCGCAATACATCGGAAGCCTGCGTGTGTATGCGGCCGTAATATGGGCGAACAATCTTAGAAGCAGACGTATTTACCGCCAAGTTATTCCATACGCCCTGAGCCAGCTTAACTCTCACAAATAACCGGGACGTTCTCCTAAAGACCTGCATGCAAGTTGCGCTACTACGATGATTCCAAAAAACTCGCTCCAGTTGACGGTACACTACGTAAAACCCGTCTGCTAGGCTCGAAAATTTACAAGAAATTTGTAGGCTTCGCATGTGATTGCGTTAGAACGGCAGATAATCCTTCGCAACATCGTCTTTCTTAGTTGTTTCATACGGTCCACGAGACCCGCCATGGACTTAATTGCGGCTTATTCGCCCAACCCTAACCCAGTAAGTTTGGATTACAAATGCAACAAGCTAGTCTAGGCGCCTCCACCTCGAACTATATCAGAATAACCATAGTGCGGAAGAAATACAGAGTCTATGGTAGCCATATAAGCATTATTCGAGTTCTCTGGCCGCCACTGGGTGGTTAGAGAAACACGCGGAAAATAGCTAGAGCCGATCGGTTACGAAAGCCCTGCGTGAAGGAGGACACAAGTAGGGCGTGTCCGAACGAAGCAATAATCAGAAACAATATGACAAACTGCAGAAGCACATAAAATAAAAGATCAACAGTCCGGACGGGACAAACATGGAAATCGATGCAACGATTGGTGAATTTGCTTCATAACATTTGTTTTCAACCTATTTAAACAAAACAGTGTTTTGAATATTCAGGGCGAACCATCTGGACTTTTAGTATATTAACATGTCCTAATCCTCACTTTCCTTTTAGGTTACACTAAATTCACCTGCTTTCGCCAAAATAGAGACGAAATAAGGTCAAGTATGCGTGGATTGCGAAGGAAGCACGAGGCGCAGCTTATGGAAGGGGCCGTTGATATGTCAAATTACTCTTCAGGTATATCGACAGCAGGTTAAGTAACAAAGAGACGCTCGCAGTGTTGAAAGGAAGGAATGATGAAGAGATAACCGAAAATGACGATAAAGCAGAGCACCTATGCCGTTTTCACATCTGTTTTCACCGATAAAACCGACTTTGTCCAGGCAGACTTGCCTGCCAGAAAAAAGCGACGCAGCAATTAAAAAAAATCGAGTTCACAGAAGAAGATGTGAAGAAAAACATCTTGCTCTTAGCGAATGTGAGTCTCTGGCCCCGGATCCAATTCCGACATAGGCTCGAAAAGCTTGTTTGCGTACTCTCTAGGCAGTTTTCGTATATTTTCTAATTTTCCTTTGGTCGAAACGTCCACCCACGTGACTGGAAGGTTGCGGATAAAGGTCTCTTTCACAAGAGTGGACTCTGAACTAGCGCTAACATCTGTCAGCCGGTGCGCCCAACATGCAGTTTTTCAAAGTTATGGAAGGAGTTATTAATAGCTACTATGCAGTTCCTCACGATATGGGTTTCTTTGCCAATGTTCAATGTGACTTTTGTCGGGACCACTCCTGTTTTACCAGCGTACTTTACTCAACGGAACAGTAATCCTGATGGTAAGATAAAGACACAAGGGACGCTGACGCTTACACTGACTTCAAACGAGCCTCTGATGGCGTTCCACTCCACCGAGTACTTCCTTGCATCGGTCATATTTCGACTGAACTCAGAAATTCACAAACTTTAATTTATGACGATGACCTCAATTGTGTTTCCTCATATTCTAAGACAACTTAAATGTTTGTCTTTAAAAAAATTTATGCCGATCTACTGCGCTTAAGCAGATGGGGTTCCACATGGCAGATGGAGTTTTCATAATCCAAGTGTAGTTTCATGTCTTTTGATCCTACCAAACTTCCTGGTCGCACAATTTTTCAAAATAACCCACTCTCAGAATACTTTACCATCAAGGACCTTGGTTAAAATTATCCAAATAAACTTGCTTTATCACCTCATGCAGATAGAATCCATGTTAAAGCCGGGCAGACATGTGGATTCATGTCTCACAATTTTTTCCTTCCGGAAATGAAGCTAAAACCATCAAATGTTTTTTCGTCCTGTCTTCCAGTACTGCTTTCCTTTCCTTGGCTTAATGAGCTCCTGCAACCGCTATAAGATCGAAAATGTTCGGAGTGTTTTCACTCGGAAACTGTTCTCTCAAGTAGCCCCCGGCACTTCTTATACTCAGACATGTCAACTGGCGAAAAATTAAGTTTTTGTATGTTAGAAGACTCGAAGCTGGCCTTTACTTCCTTTTTCGCATCAGCTCTAGCTCCAACCTTCCGCTCACTGACACTCTCACTCCGAGAGATCGGTCTTATGCCACCCGCAACTTCTCATGGTGATTCCGTCGCCTCTTCGCACTCCATCTAAGTGCTCCCTATTTTGCTTCCGAAAATGCCTTCCGTTGAAATAATCTCCCGCCAGAAATTAGGACATCACCTAATTTATCCGTATTTAAATCCTATTTACGCAAATACCTTACACTGGAAAGTATAAAGTCACTTTTAACCGTCTTCTTCCCGAACGCTCGGCTTCTTGACTTCGAAAAGGGTCCTCCTGGAATTTAGTGGTAGATCAAGTGGAAACCGTCGTTTATATCTCTACAAGCCCTTTGTTTTTAATTGGTCACTTAGTCCACTGTTAGCACTTCTCCATCATAGCGACGAATTTTGCGGTTGTCGATGCCATCCCCCTCATTTTCACTTCAAGCTGTCTGTCGACGCTGATGGTGGGATCCTCCGAATTTGGCCGTCTACTAGTAGTTTGGTCGTACCTTCCTTCCCCGCTCCTCGGCTGGGCTCGAAGCGGACTGTGGCCGATCGCGTCATGGTTCCTCTCGTCTGGCCACTTTGACGCGAATAGTCTTATTCGGCGTATAAATTCTACCCTAACGATGTCCGTTCTGAATCCCGAATGCAATACCACCTTCAGACCAGACCTCTCCGACCCGCGTACGTACCCCTCAAAGCTGACATTTATTTCTGCCATGACGATGTCCTATTATAATCCATTATATACTGCCACATGCAATACATTCCTGTCCGCATTTTTATATTATTATGAGCGAGAGTTCTTTTCTCCTGTAAAATTAATCCAATCATTTTCGAATTCTTAAATGGAGTTTTTTCACTGCTCGCTCATCATTTTTCTTAACAGACTGTAAATTCAGGAACTATGAATTGCATTTTGTACAGATTCTGCCTACTTCGTCCAAAATTCATGTGGAAATTTATTTCTACTTGCTTTGATGGAAATCCGACGGGTCTTTAATAAAAAATATTTATTTATTCTGGTGTTTCAGGGAGATTTTTGGTTCATTCGTAAATTCATTTTAAGAATATCTTGATCATGGGCCACTTTGAATACGCAGTTCAGATTATTTTGGAGTCTTCTGATCCAGAGGGATCGAAGACCGTATTTATGATATAGCTCTAAGTATGGACCCTGGACGGCGTCATTTCTGGACAACGATTCAGTAAAACGTGTCTGAATGCCTTCAGTCGTCTGGGCGCATTATGTCGAAAAAGCTTGAGCAATAATCTGGGAGAAGTAAAATGTACATATTGAAAAGTTTTATTCTTAGCGCATTTAAGGTGAAAACCTTACATATGTGTTTACACAGGCGAGTGGATTTCGGTGATATTTGTCGGACGTGTGGAGTTAGGTCAAGGGTATTTATATGGCTGACACCGTTTTTTATCGATTGCGCTTCCTTTATTTCATTATTCTCGAATAATATGGAGGATGTTTTGTGGGTCAAAAATCAGGAGATGGAATTTTTCGTGTGAAAAGGGCATCTGCCATTGACTACTCCATTCGCTGAGTTAGTAATAATCATAATTGCAGTTAATGCCAGTTTACACGCACTGTCAGGGAAGCGTTAGATACAAATGCGGCCAACAGTGAAAAAAATTTCCGTCAAGAAGTACATAAAAATAAAGTTGATGGTGATTTTTTATAGTTTGCAGGGTTCAGGAGAAAAAAACTGCTGCCCATGAAATGCCGACAGTCAAGAAAGGGAGGGGTAGCCCTATGTTGGATATGATCAGTTGCCAATCCTTTTCATGAAGTTGGGGCTGGTTCGAACAGAAACACCGAAGAACAGCTGTTACTGTTGGCTAAGGAAATCGTCCCTGATGAGACCGGGCATAGAGATTAGAGGCCACAAACGCCGTCGCTACGGTATAGTCGATCAGTGGATTCAGCACCCAAAATTTGTGGGAGTTTTTCTGAATGCAAAAATTGGGTAATAGTCCCCTTAAGCAAAGGATAATTCTGCAGAATCTTCACATTCGTGAGTATTTCATTCCAAATAGCAATTGCATTTACAGAAATGAACCGACGATATTTAACGGTACGAGCCAGAGGAAGAGATAAAAAGACCTCACGGTGACTGTTACGTCGGGGGTGGACAAGATGTCTTACAGCAGTGAGTGGGTTAAAGGTACGATTATATAAAAGCTTAAATAGTAAAAATAGTCCCTTTTGTAATCTATGAAACTATAAAGAGTCAAAGCCTGTAAGCCGGCAACATTCTTGGTAAGACAAATGTCAGTGTTCTGCGGTTTAAACTCTCTTGGTAAAAAAATTAGACGGGTTTTATTTTCTTTCGCTCAGCAGCACGCATGAGGCTAAATAAAAATAAACAGTATTCCAGGCCACGGGTGTAACGCAATTTTATAAATGTGCATTCTAATATTGTTAGTTTTAAGATTTCGGAGGATAAATTCGGTCGTTCTACGTGCTTTGGAGACTATCAGGGCGCAGTGTTCCGAAAGATTTAGACTCTTGGAGCATGGTACGCCCAGATCTTTAATAATCCCAGGCACATTTATGTCGTGACCGTCAATACTTAGTTGAGGTTGTTGGTCGTCGCCAACCACTATGATTGAGCATTTATGCCAAGAAAGAGAAAGGCGCCATGTGTAACACCAATGCACGAAGGCCTGTAGGTCGTTCTTTGGGAGCTCAAGCCCTATGTCACGATCTGCCGGCTTATACCTACATGCAACTTTCAGATTATCGGCATACATGATGGGCTTGCCATTTTGAAATAAATGGGGTACACCGTTAAAAATAAGGTTAAATAAAAGCGGGCCGAGTGCCTTACCCTGAATGACTTCACTCCTCTCACATGTGCGGTTGGACATAGCATTGGAAATCATAACTCGTTTTGTACGAGCGTCCAGGTAAGAGGATATAAAATTCAGAAGTTTGCCACCTATGCCGAAAGAGGGCAATTTCAAGAGAAGAATAACCTAGTCAACACGATCAAAAGCCTTAGTGAAATCGAAATATACTGTGTAAATTGCAAATCCATTGCCACTAGATTGGATAAAATGGTCAAAGAAAGAGAGTTGGCAGATGTCACAAGACCGAGCTTTAAGGAATCCATGCTGTGCAGTGCCCAGAATTTTATTCTCTGTTAAGTGACACAGCATCGCATATTTGGCCGGTGTCGGTAAGATCTTAGAAAATGCCGGTGGGTTGTTTATTAGCCGAAAGCCATCAAATAACGTAGACTGACCATGCTCCAGAATGAGCTAAACGTGTGATTCCTTCCACGAAGTAGGATAGGTTTCACTTTGAAGGGCGAAATTAAATATCTTGCATAAGAGGGATGCAAAAATTGCCTTTGCATCCGCTTTTAGAATGCTTACTGGGACGCCATCAGGCCCAGGACTATGAGATTGACGAAAACGCCGAATCGCAACAGTCACATCCAATACAGTGAAAGTTATAGTTTCGAGAACTGCCCCGGTCAATGCCTGGATGGTTCAGAAGCTGAGTGGTCGAGTTTTTAATAAATGCTTTGAACAGGAAAGCGTTGAAACTATGAGCGGTTAACAGAGCATCAACTATAGGATTCACGAGGGCGTCTCGGATGGCAAGATGCTGTGTCTTCCTGTAAGTTCGTACTTTTCGGGAGAAAGGTTTCGAGACATTTAACGAACGACTTTCAGTGAATTGGACCTCTTCGGCTAGCTGTTTTTCATCGGACAATCTTTTAGTCCGCTCAAAAATATCACAAATCAAGGGCAGAAAGGAAACATCATTTTGAAGATGGAATCGACGAGAAAGTCTGCGCAACCTGCGGCGAAAGGATATGGGTAGGAAAACCTCGTCCCGACATTAATTATTTTCTTACGAGGGGCAAAACGGCAAGTAAGCGGATCCAAAATTTCGTACAGTTTAGCAGTGCAAACATTAACATACGAAGGCGGAGACCAGCGGACTTCAGGAAGATTGAAGTTACCTGCAACCGTTTGATGCCTAAAGCTTAAGTCGACCGCAGCATGAAATGCCAATGAGAGTAAACGATCAAAATTGTCGTTGACGTTGGGAGGGCGATAGACACAGCCAACGAGTAAGAAAAACTTATTTTTGAGTGAAACCTGGAGCCAGCAGCTGCCTTCTACCGCGGAAAAGTGCTGGAGGTCCAGCGCCAACAATGTCCTGACGATCATTTCGAATGAAGGTATAGCCTAGAAGAGAGAGTTCGGAATCAAGTACGGAAGCTGATGTTCATGCCTCCGTTATTAAAACAATATCCGGACGATGGACGGACACCAGAGTCTGAAACAAGGGCATCTTGTCCAGCAAGGATCTGGCATTTAAAACAAATGTTCGAGGGAAAAGGCTGTTTGTTTCTGAGGGAGGTGGACTATGTCATCCAGCGCTTGGCTACCCACGGAACACACGGTCCGGATGCACCCACCCGGTTCTGCAAAACATGGTGTGTCATGAAAAAATGCTGACGTGAATAAAAAGGAATGGGACTTTGGGAGGGGGGAGAATGACAGGCAGGGGAACGGGTAACCATTGTTAGCTAGCTCATTTTCAGCTGGGAATCCACGGGTCGGATACTGTAACGTATTCCGTCGGAACGAAATTGAGGAGCGGATGAGTTAAGTGGCCCAGTTAGAACATGAGCATGAGGAATGCGTTCTTAAAACGGCCAATGAGAAAAAAGGGGGGGGGGGGGGGGGGGGGGCGCACTGCTTCAACTGGAGCAAGAATTCTGTTAAAAGGCGGGAATATGGGCATAATCGGCCTAACTGCTTCGATATGAGGGTTGGGGAGTAGTTGGAAACATGCCAAGTTTTGGACCGTGATGTCTGAGGCATTGTTAGGCGACTGCAGGGGAAACGATTTCATTCTGGAGCTGAATTTACCTCGTGCCCGAGTGGCTGATACGGCATTTGGATTCACCTTTGACGTAGGCACATGCTTCGGCTTGCTAGGGGTTGCTGGGGGAGTCGGTAGGGACGTTTTTATACCAGGCGTATTGCTGCGTTTAAAGATCTCAGCATCAAGAATAGTCGAATTCTCTACGGAATTGACTATGCCATGACGTACAGAGGCCGCAGATGATGACGAGGGAGACTTATTCAAACTGGCAATAGGTGCCATTATGTCGGTGTTGGTTTTTGACAATTTCAATTTGCTCAGTCTTTGTTGCCTTGGTGTGAGGTCCGTTGAAACTGAGCAGTGCCATTTACAGCATAATTCTCTAGTTATCCCCCTCGTCGACAAGATAAAATTGACTTCTATCAAGGAGAAAAGGGTGACTAGTATCGGCACATTTCGGCTGAACGAGCGCATTCGTTTAGCTTGTGCGACACTGAAACCCAAGCCACAACTTTGCAGGGACAAATGCGCTCCCTCTATAGCAGATAAGTGACTCGGAATGTTTCGCAGTACAAAATTATGCCTTCGTTTTATTCTCTCCTTGGTTTCCGAGCTTATAACTCCAATAACTTTAAACGGTTGTTCCATTACTTTTTCAGAAGTGCTGCTTATGTCGTCGGCTGATGTTCTCTCACGACTATCAGAGGCTTTGTTTTGGACGATTAAGGGGTCAAGAGGTTCTACTTGGACTAAAGGGATTCTTGAGTTAACCATATCCACAGAAGGCAGCGAACACATGCTGACACCTGCTGCGTCTCCGGCCACGAATCTAGCACTCAGAGACGGTGGGAAGGCCACAAGCTTTCGTCTTTTAGCACGTGTTTTTCGGGGCATTACTGGGTACTAGATAGATTTTCCGTTGCAGTACAAGGATCGAAAAGTTGCTAACGTACAACCAAAAGCACAGAATAGCAACTACTACTGTTAGTTTACTTGAAAAACTAGAAACAGATGGTCTCACAGGAAGTCACTAAGGGGCACTTCACAAAATACGGCCACTTTAACAGACTGTCTGACAAGAGTGGAAAAAAATAATACTCGGAAGTGAAAAGCGACTTTTAAAAGAGGACTCAAGTAAAAAGTAGGCAGTAACCGCTTAAGAATATCAAAGTGTAGGCAAAGCTTCATTTATCTTTGAAATTGAACTGCAAACGCCCGTGACAGCAGAAGGGACATGTGGCTCGTGAAGGAAATGCCCCAGAGGTTGCGCAAAACACATTGCCTCACAGCACGCACCCTCTGCTCGGTTTAACACCCAAAGGCCATCAGAAGCGTCCAGAGGCGGAGAAGGCGTGACCATTCGTCCCGGGTTACGCAAAAATTATGCGGCACACGCGATTATGGCCGGGCAGGACAGATACGCACTTTCCACTGCGCAGACCTGTTAAAGCATATCCTTTCTCGTGCTTTTCCGACGGCTATTCTATGTGAAAATGGAGGCGCAGACGTTTAAAAAGGGCTGGGCTGGATTCTTAATTAGGTATGTGGCACATGTGGGACGAGGACACACGCTGCGTCGGTCACGGTGTCCGAAGGAGTTGACTGGGCTCCCACTGGTCTCCTGTGCGACATGATGGGAGAGTTAAGCCAACCCTGCTGTGCAGCCTTCCCTGCTACAAAAAGGGGTCACGTGATTGATGCGCTGGACCAACAGGGGATTAGATCGAAGTCCGGCAGGCGCTATTGCGAATGCGTACCCATAACAAATGCCGACATTTGGGTTGTGGTAACACGTCAAGTTGCCGGCTGAATTTGCGCCAAGTGGGGTCCGTGTCGCCCCCTTTTGTTGTTGTTCAACAGTTCTGGTCAAGTGTATACTGTGGGCCAGGGGGTGTGGTGGTACGCCTAGGTGCGGGTCCGGCCGTGCCAACCACGTGCGCGCTCTCTCCCGCCTCTGGTCTTCCTAACTCTGGCTTGACACCGGGTCCAGGTGGGGGAGGGGACAGGGCGCTAGATGCGGCGTAAGTCTATTACCGCTATAACCTAAATCACGTCCAAGTCGCCGGGCCTGCTCTCACCCTGCTGTTGAGCACACGGTGGACATTGTCGAAACCGGGTGTCGGACTGTGGATGAGACGGAGACTGCATGCGCTAACGGTGATTTTGGCCCTGTGGGAAGACTGTGTGTGCGTTCCTAAAAGGAAACACGCCGCAAATGCGCTGGACCAACATGGGGGCTAGATCGAATTCCGGCAGGCGTTATCGGGAATGTGTGCCCATAAACATTTGGGGTGTGACGGAAGGTCTAGTTGCAAGCGCACGCCGTGCCATTTGGAATTCGTGCCGCCCTCCGCGTTTTTACTTCTTGTGCGAAATCCTGGTCAGTGTACGTTATGGACCAGTGGGGTGTGGCAGCACGCCTAGGTGCGGGTTTTCGCCGTGCCAGCTATCTGCCCCCGACCCCCTCTCCGGTTTTCTTGACTCCGCCTTGACAACGGATACAGGTGGGCCAGGAAGAGAGAATGCAATAGATGATAAGAAGTAGAAGCGATCGCTGGAACAAGAGCTTTATTTGCTTAACGTTTCGGATTCTCGTTTGAACCCTTCTTCAGAAATAGTAACAGAAACGGGTAGATGTTGTGCAAGCTTACTATCACTTTAAACAAACAGATGCACAAGTCCCCGCCCTGATAAGGAGCACACGGTGGGCATCGTCGGCAACGGCGACCGAACTGTCATATGTACACCCTACACGTCCTTGACCATAAAGACGATGAAGGAACTACCGGGCGATTGAAAAGGGGAACCATATCTTCTCGGCATGGTGTAGTGTTGACGACGTCTGAAGGTAGGACCGGGTTTATGCCCCTCCTCATAGGTAGGACACGCTTGATCGGCAGAAACAGGATTGTTCCAATTCGGTCGAGAGCCGATGGAAGTCACTTTCTCGAATTAACATTTCAACCCGTTTGCTCAAAATGAACAGACAAGGCGGCGGGGTGGGGGAGAGAGCGAGATGGGCCAAGAAGTCTGCAAATAAAGGGGTTGAATTGACGTGGTTGGCCTCTCTTGTCAGGGAATGTCCCGGCGATCGTTTCTCCTTCTTCAATGTCAGGAGAGTTCGAGATTCGAACAGACAATAAAACGGTTAATAAACTCTGGCATACTGTGAATTAAGTTGAAAACTCTGATCTCTATGAAGACAGAAATCGCGCATTAGCAGCAGAACATTCAAAAGAAGTTGGTTAAGTAAAAAAGGTGTTAAATTAGAGCGCTCTCTCTCCCCCTCCTCTTCCCACTGAATCCGGGATTGAATCCCGGCTGCGTCAGCACATAGCGTTTGGGTCGGATGGGCTAATGACGACAAAGAGAATACCGTGATGAAAGTGTGTTCGCTGATCGGGCTGCGAGGTATGCTCATACCCTTGCGCCTTGGGCTCAATCAGAGCCCTCACGGACAGTCGCAAAGCAACAATTTATATGTATAGAGAACACCGATAAGGACGGGGGAACAGGGATGGCCGTTCCTGGTTTATTGTCAATCGTCGGCCAGCCTTAACCAATCCCCGGTTTGTTTTAGGACCCAAGATCCGGACCAGGGTCCCTTGGTCCTCGAGCGTTTACAAGTCCAACGCTCTACCATCGCGCCACGAGCCCACTGTCCTGTCGGTTTTGATCGGGAAAACTTACTGCGGTTGTGGAAGTGGGTTCGCCGATCGGGTTACGTTGCATGCTTCTCTTGTTGAGCCCTCTTGGACCGTCGTATGGCAAGAAGTGGTCAAAAGGTTTGAAAGCGTGTGCTATTCCAGTATCAGCAAACCACAGCCCTCGCAGTCTGGTATGTCCTAGTAGTTCCCTGACACCTGGTTCCCTACCGGCAGATGTGCTTGCGCTCCCGCTGGGTATACAGGTGGGGGGCATGGCCGCCTAGTCATCATTCTCGTCCTTCTAACCCCTGTTAGGGTGTTGTTATAGTTGTTGTTGGTGAAAAATACTGGCCAAGTGTATTTTGTGAACTAGGGGGTGTGGTGGCGCTCCTAGGTGCGGGTCCGGCCCTGCCAACCACCTCCACCCTCCCCTGCCTTCGGTCTTCAGCACTCTGTCTTGGCATCAAGTCCAGGTAGGGAGTGGGGAGGAGGGAGTGCGGTAGATACTGCGCAGGTCTACTATCACTTTAAACTAATTCACGCACAAGTCACCGTGCCTGCTTCATCTAACTGTGCAGCGCACGGTGGACATCGACGGTCGAACTGTCATAGCAAGAAGTAAGCCAGAAATGGCCATCCCAGTCGTCTTTGTCTTTGTCAGTACTTCTCCCTTTAAACATGTTTTTTTTCTGTTGCAGAGTTTAGGTTGCAAAGTATTATGGCTGCCTCGTCGCCATCAGTCCCATAAAACGGGTCGTTGCTGAAGTGCACTGCATGACACCACTGGCAGTTAAATGAAGCCAGATGGAGTGAATATGTACGTACACACCCACTGACCGTTCAAAAACCTAAACAGTTGCCGACTGTATCAAACTGTGGTCTCCGATGACAGCTTTAGCGAATGGAAAGTTATTTATGCTGATACCTATCCTGACTGCAGCCGCGGAACGACCACAGGTTCGCACCTCCCCCCCCCCCAACCAAAACCATTTACTAAGAACCCGAACACGGCACGGTTCACGCACTTTGCGCACCCGAGGTGAAGAGCACTCACTTCAGAAACTGGTGCCCAGCTCGCAGTGTCTTTCACGAGTCGCGCCGACTTTGTCGTCAAAGTAGGACACTGGCCGAGAAAGGTGTCGCAGCCGCAAATTTATCAAATTGCAAGTGAACACAGGAAGTGTCGACCAATAAACTGAGATCATTCCAGTCCCCCCCTGTCTCTGGCCGTAGTACATCTCCACCCCTGAGGGCTTATTGCCATGCGACCACCGGTGAAGTATGAGGAAAAACGGAGTCCCACAACCGGGACATATCAATGGTCGTCATCCCTCACGTGACTTAATATCTCCAATTGAGGCCCAATAGTCGGTTGTTTTGTTCTAACGCTCAATGACCAGAGTCTGGATTCGGATCCACCCCCAGGGCCAAAGCTTGCGGTTTTGGTTGGAAGACGGCGACAAATAGACGGTAAATTGCCATCCCAGTCTCGCCCGTTTTGTGGCAGCAAAAAACGGTAAAAACGATGTGGGGGGAGAGGGTCGAAGACGGTGGGGTGGCGGACATAAACGTACATCAGAGTTGGAGGGGGTGTCAGCCTCGTGCTTGTTGTTGGCAATGTCCTGTTCGATGGCATTGAGGAAGTCGAACTCGTTCTCCTTAACCCCGACCACATTGTTTTTGGTGCCGTAGCGATTGTCCACGGTGGGCTGCATCAACGGGAGAGGAGAAAAAAGGAGAGCGGGCGGTGAGAGCAAACCTGAGGCAGCAGCTACGATCAACTGGAGGTAAAACCGGCACGCGTGTGTGTTGGCCACACAACCCACATGAGATTAAACAAACCAGTGGGTCAACAAAGGGGGCGTGCCCAACCCTCCACCCTTGACTGTCCGGCCCCCCGGGATCACGTGGATTTCGCGTGTAAAAACACGCCTAGCTGGTTTGGCTTTAGGCCCTTCCCGCTGGCGCCTCATTTGAAGGGTATGGCAGACGCGCAACAAATGTGCCTTATTGTATTCCAACAAAGCAAGAGAGCATGTTGTGTGATGACTGAGGCCTGGGGGGGGGGCGAGTGAGGGTGCCAAAACCGCGCCAGATTAACCACTACCGTTGGCCAACTTCTGGAGCATTAACATGTCACCCGGACACAAGGATCTGGATCTTCAGACAGCAGCCGTTCTAGCCCTCCGACACACATACCACTTTCTAAGTCCATCGGCAGGGTAGACGATCGATGCGGGTCCATTGGTGCCAGGCGCAGAACCGCAGGACCCCCCAGCGGAAAGTTGGGCCCGTCGGCATCTGAGTATGACGCAGATGCACTCACGGACCATGTAGCGGAGGTACTTTTAGGCGGGCCTACGCACCGATTTGGCAAGCAGTAAGCCCACAAAGCACGGCAGATTTACGTCAGGGCGAGTGTTGCCCACCCACTTGGCAGGGCGTCAGGTGGGTCGTTTTTGAGGCTTTTTAATTGCCTTAGAAACCACCTACCAACTTGGAGTAAATCAACCTGTTTGAGACCTATAGGCTCCGGCTAAAATACGGTAGGAGTACAGTGCGTGACCCATCTCATGGAATGTTGGCTGAAATTCTGAAATGCGTTTTCGATTAGGAAGAATTACTTGGTCGCGGTTGTGGCACTGATTATCGTAAGGCATACTTTTATAACATGTTGGACTCGGCATGATGTCGGCTTTAAAATGCACTTCTTTTAAATCTCCTGTAGAAAGCGTGCTCGGTAAAAAAATGACTGCTTAAGTAGCATGCATTTATCCCATTGATTTTCGATGGTCTTGGAAATTCAAATATATTATATAGAAACCACAAACAAAAATATGCTTTCTTTTAGTCAATCAATAGAGAATCACGTCTTCTTTTTATTTTATACTTCAGGGAGGAGTATAATTAGGTTTTAAAAAAGTTTTCTAATTGCCGAAAAATCTGGAGCCTGATTATTTGTTGCATTAGCGCTTAGTGATTACACTCTACAAGGCGCATGCGTTTCGCGTAAAGAAAATCCCATATTTTTTTATGTCATGAAAGAGATATCATACAGGGTCCATAAAATTTTCCAATGGATGCGGACCATGTCGTACATTTCATTAGGAGCAGTGGTAAACGGCCAGGTACGATGCTATGTGAATGGACATATCGCGGTCTTAAAAAGTCTCATAATTAGAAACTCTTTTAAAACCTAATTATACACCTTCCTTAAGTATAAAATATAAAGAAGACGTGATTCTCTATTGGTTGACTAAAAGGAAGCATATTTTTGTTTATGGTTTCTATAAAATATCTTTGAATTTCCAAGACCACCGAAAATCAATGAGAAGAGTGCATGCTACTTAAGTAGTCATTTTTGCCGAGCTCGATTTCTACAGGAGATTGAAAAGAAGTGCATTTAAAAGCCGACATCATGCCGAGTCCAACATGTTATAAAAGTATGCCTTACGATAATCAGTGCCACAACCGCGACCAAGTAATTCTTCCTAATCGAAAACGCATTTCAGAATTTCAGCCAATATTTCATGAGATAGCTCACTCACTGTATTTGGCCCGAAGTCCATCAACCGCAGCGCAATAACCGCGTAATGCTTATTAAACCGCCAACAGACAGTCAGTAGTGTATGCACTCAATAGAATGTCAACTGAAATTCTGAAATGCAATTTCGATTGGGAAGGATTACTTAAACGGGGCCCTAATCTTAATTCGCCTGCGGCATAATCGCATGATATTTTGGACTTGCCAGGATGTTAGCTATCGAATGCACTTCTTTTCGACCCCTTGTAAAAACGCACCCCGTAAAAATGAATATTTACGTAGCGTGCAGTTTTTTCCACTGATTTACGATGGCCTCATAAATTTAGACATATTTCGTAGAAAACATGCACAAAAACACTTTTCCCTATACTCGTTTAGTAGCGAAGTGTGTTTTCTTCAAATTTCATACTCGAAAAAAGTGTACCCTTCAGTTTTAAAGTAGTTTCTGGCCGTGAGATTTTTCAAGACCGCGCAACATTCACTCATACGGCGTCGTACCTGTCCGTTTATGAATGCGCCTCATGAAGTATACAACATAGTCCACATCAATCGCAAAACCTTATGAGCACTCCATGATATCTTCTTGAGGGCAGAGAAAAAATATGTAATTTTCCTTACACGGAGTGTGTACCTTGTAAACTGAAATCTCTAAATGTTAATGCAACGGCTGATCTGACTCAGAATTATCCGGGCACTGGAAAACTTCTTTTAAAAACCTAGATATACCCTTTCACCGGATATAAACTGTGAATACAACGTGAAAGAAAGCATATTTTTGTGAATGTTTTCTATAAAGTATACCTGATTTTATAAGACCATCGAGAACCAGTGTGAAGCATGAACATTATTTAAGTAGTTATTTTCCACAGAACGCGGTTTTCAAGAGGTCGAAGAGAAGTGCATTCAACAGCCAACAGCCTAGCGGGTCCGAAATGTCATAGGATTATGCCGTATAGTCAATAATATATATATATACTATATTTACTATATATATAATATAGTAAATAATATTACAACCCAACCTAAGTAATCCTTTCCCAATCGAATACTTATTCCAGAATTTCGATTAACATTTCATGAGATTGGTCACTGACTAAGCATAGGTAGGAGGATATACCATACCCTAGAGCGCAGGTATTAGCGAAAAACCCAGATACGTGTAAAAGCGATTTATTGTGAGGTGCACGCGTTACGCTAGGAGGTAGTCAGAAAAGGATTATCGTAATAGACAAGCCAGTCTGTATTTACAACCAGAAATTAATTATACCATTTCGTCAGTTCTCGCTCTCGCATGAGGTGACGTCGGCCTAACGGCCCACATAAAACAAGGACGCGCAGAAAAAATCCTACTACACATATCCTGTGCTTTTTAAAGACCGTGAGCGCGACCAGTCCGCAAAATGACATGCCGATAACATTGACAGGGCGGGAGGATGCGGCCGTTGAAATAAAAACTTTATTTGCCTGGAGTTTCGGGCTCACAGTGGGAGCCATCATCAGAGACAGTATCTGGCTCCGGTAATTCGTGCAGAGGAAGTTGAAGTAGTTATAAGATGCACTCGCTATCTTCTGCACACCTACGGTAATTAAACGTTCTCCCCTTCATCGAGTATTGGTGTCCGCCCGTGTGCTTATGGCTTGGTGGCCGGCCTGCAGGTCGTTAATTGCTTAAGTCTAACTCCCGTGTTGGATGTTGGCGTGATAACGGCTCGGCCACTTGGCTCAACGGCCTGCGCGTTCCCCGAGTAGCTAATTGCTTTGGCCAACTTAGGTCACAACACCGAATATGGAATTGGAGGCCATTGCACTTGTCCCATGAATCATGACTCAAGCAACTTGCGGCCCACGCAATTATCACTTCTCGCGAGAATATCGGCCTCATCGAACTTGAATGTGTGGCCGGGTCTTGCCGAATGTGTCGCGACTTGCGAGTTGGCGCCATTTCTCTGCACTGCTGCCGCATGTTCGGCGATTCGCGTCCGGAGCTGTCTTCCAGTTTCTCCGACAAAGTCGCCTTGCCCGCAACTGCACCCGATCCGATAAACGACTCTAGGTGTTTCATGCCGCGGCAGTTGGTCTGATAGACTGTCCGTGAAGGACAGGGTAAGGAGGCAGTGTTTGTAATCAGTCAAATATCGTGGACGCTAAACGCGGCATACCTTAGTATACGGAACATTATGCAAAGTCTGAAGTTGAATGAGTGTCAACCCCTCCGAGTAGAAAATCAGTCTACTTGTGCAGTCTTATCTTCCAATTACAAGAAGAAAGAGAGCAACCGCGAGGGCAGGTCGGTAAATATAACGTCTCACGAGGGGTTGAAGGGGACCCCCGGTGTCTGCTAACTAGCCTGGCTGTGGGCGACCTTGCACATTCCCAGGTGTCGACTAAACTATACGCAAAAAGGTCGCAATCTATAAGAGTGTTACGACAGGGCGACTGTTGCCCGTCGCAGTCCGGCAGAAACCTTAAACTGGTGGATGAAGACGACCACCTTCGAACACCGGGATCCCAGGAAGGCATTCTCCAAGAAATTCCTATCTGGCAAACCAGGGCCTAACCGGGTGGTTGGGCGACCGCAAGCGACAGTGTTTTGTTTAACAATCTCAACATACGCCCTCAGACATAAAATATGCGACGACAGCCCGACCGTCGCATGCTACGACTTTCACCGTGCACGGCCTACGGTGAGGAGGAAGCAGCACTGGAAACGTACGTGTGGCTTATTTTATAGTAAGGCAGACTTGCGCAGCATCTACTGCGCTATCTCTCCTCCCCCACCCACTTGGTGCCAACAGAAAGCCAGGTTAGATCGTAGTCGGTAGCCAGGAATGGGGAGGCGGACAGCCAGGTCCCTGTCGTACGGGAATGGTGCGAAAGGGGGTTATATAGGTGGGGTAAATGGAAAAGCTGGTAGAAGAATGCTGGAGATTCTGAATAAAAGTAAAGATACCGGGGAAAGTGCTGGGAAGTTTTAAGTAGGTGGAATAATGACAGAAAATTAAACCCTACGCCTGACCCTAAAAGCCAGCCCTGACCGCAACCGTAAAGCCTAACCCTAAGCCTCAAAACGGAAACGTAACCAAAATCCTAAAACCCAACGCTAACCCAAAACCTAGCCATAACCCTAACCCTAACCTTAACCTTAACCCTAGCCCCAGCCTTAACGCTAAC